GGAATTCTGGGAGTTGAAGTCCACACATCTTAAAGATGCCAAGGTTGACAAACACTGCTCTAGTGGCTCCTGTGTGGATCAAATCACCATGATTCTGGTATTGTACCTACACCATGCTTCTGTATATCCAAGTGTTTCTTTCTAAGGGAGATGAGTATTTTGGTTGCATCCTTTTGTAGCTTTTTCAGTTTAACAGTATTACCTTTGAGGCCGAGAATTAAGTGTGCTTGCAAGATGGATTGGTTTGAAAGTGTTAGGGTCACGGCCCTTTTTTTCTGGATTCGCTTCTTAATGTTCCTCCTCTCCAGTATAGGATGTGGCTTCTCTTCACAGCAGCCACACTAACCTGACATCTCAGTAATCTCGCTGTGATAACCCCAAGATCCCTTTCCAGGTGTGTTACTGTCATTTTATATCCCATCAGGGACAGGAGGGTAAGGTGTGGAGTGCACCTGGCCCCTTAAACATTGTCTGCCTAACTGGAGTCTATTTTTTGCCACTGGCCAGCTGGGGAGAGAACAAACTACCATTAGCCACAGGAAAGCAACAGCCTTGATGAGGATTGCTACACAGGGACAAACGGTGATCTTGTCTGATTTGAGATCCCAAGGAGATGCAGGGAGTCCCCAGGTTAAGAACTCCCGATTTAAGGATGACTCATAGTTAAGAATGGAGCCTATTGTAGCAAAATTTGAGTTAAATACACAATGATTCGAGTTAAATGCACAATGGTTCGAATTAAATGCACAATGGTTCAAGTTCATTACACAAACTACTTATACAATAATATTGTTCCGGCTTGTACAAATTCAACTTAAGGGCAGACCTTGGGAACGGAACTTGTTCTTAAGCTGAGGACTACCTGTATATGAAATTAAAGCTTTCCTTGCCCCTTCATTGGTCCCACTTTCCCTCTGTGCCAGAGGCAGGTTCTTCTAAAGCCGCTTCCCTCCAAAGCCCTGGTTCTCCTAGACTGATTCTGAAAATGCAGAAGAAAAATATTTCAATACTCAGCTGGATATGGAGGAAGATAATTCACAAGCGCACATCTTTTAATTTACTCAGGTAGATACTGCCTTTACTATGACACTTTTACACATCACAGACAACATTTAATTTTGTAATTGCTGTAGTAGCAGTACTAAACAGAAATTCGTAGCATCATAATTAACTTCATTGCACAAGAGAATAATAGGTAATTTAAACTCTGCATGGATTGTTTTATTTTTGTGCTCGTGCTATAAATTGAACCTCTAAATTGTTATTTTAAATGCCATAATCATATAATTCATAAATAATTATCTCTCCTTCTCTCTCAATACACCCAAATACTTTTTGTAACCAAAGAAACATAAATGCTTATGGGTGGAGATGTTTGTAGCTAGCTGATTTGTGATCTTGATTGCCATGTAATAATGCATCTATTTGGATTGAGTTCAGTAAAACTTATTTCGAAAGTCCTGCTACTGATTGTGCCACTGGTGTTACTTTCTCTTCGTGGCATCCTTCAGATGTACGGACAAAATCTCAGAAATCTTTGCATTGCCCATTTTGACTGGGGAATCCTACGACTTGATGACTATGTATTTGGAGAGCATCCAGACTGAAAAAGGCTGGCCTGCATTGTCCCCTCTAACTTGATGATTCTGTGATGGAAATGTTTTCAAATATCTGGAAGGAACCAGGTCATCTTCTAGCCCTAAAAAAAACATAAGCAGAGTTCTGATAAATGACACCAAAGATCCATTCTCAAGATGCTTTGGGGAAGCTAAGAAGCAGACAGTGCCCTCTTTTGTTGTTTCTCCTCCCTATAACTGTTCTTTAGTGCCTCTAACACTTGGACGAAATCTTTCAGGCTAGATATAGGAAGAGCTGTGATTGCCATTATGGGTAGTTCTTTTTGTGGAGGGCCATGCTCACACGTGGCTGTTGCTACGTGTTATAGCAATGAGCTGGAGAAGTTACATTGTGTGAATCCAGTTTTTCTTCCTTCATCTGTCCTGGACAGAATGTTTGAAACTGGAAAATGCTGAGCTGCTTCAACAGTTCAGGGGTCAACTGATTCCCAATTCTGAGGGCTAATGCAGAATTGAATGAGGACCCCCCCCCCTTTCTCCAGCCCTATTCTTCATGGCTTCTTTGCACTACAGGTTCAAGTTCTTTTCCAGGCACATCCACTTCAAAGCACCAGCAGAAGAAAATAGGATAAATGATGAGAAAAGGACTTTCTTGCCACTCCCGTTCTTCCTGGCAAGGGAAGAGTTAAACTTCCTCTTTTGCCACTTCTCTAATTTAAGCATCTTCCTGTCCACCTACCCCCCCCCCTCCAATTTTGCAGCTGCTTGGCCAGCATCCAAATTCCCAAGCCTGGGTTTCTATCAAATATCCATCCTGCCCTTAGGAGAGAGGTGAGGGGCAAATAGGGAGGATTTCTAGAAAAGTAGGACCAGCCAAAACTCATCAGAAGAGGAGGAGGAATTTCACAGGAAGTGCCAACATACTTATTAGAAAGTGTCACATTGAAAATCCTCATCCCTGAGCAATTACAGTGACTGCGTTCACATGTAGCATAAAGTTGGGATTTACAAATCATAGTTCAACAGTCCACAGTGCCCCGGTTATAAGACTGAGATTTAATGTGTTCCCCACCCAGCCAACCTGCATATTATACTTAACTGCTATGGGTGCCCCAGGCCAGTGTCTTTGTGGGGGAAAGGCAGTGGCACACGGTGTGATGTTTGGGAAGAACCAGCTGTTTAACAGCTTGTTATAAATCAGGGAAGATGGTAAATTAGGTTCTATGATTTCACCTCTGGCTGATTGCATTAGATCAGTGTTTCTCAGCTTTGGCAACTTTAAGACGGGTGAACTTCAACTCCCAGAATTCGGGGAGTTAAAGTCCACCTATCTTAAAGTTGCCAAGGTTGAGAAACACTGCATTAGATTGACAAGAATTCAATTCCCAGTTGTTTAACAGCAGAAGTGAGAAAACATCCCCCCCCCCCCCAAAATTGAAAGAGAGAAGATTTGGGATACCTAGCAATGGACTTTTGAATGTAAGTAATAAGAGATTAGTTTAATTCTGGTGCAGAAAAAAAATAGTCTCAGAGAAAGCAACTTCTCTGAATTGGCTCAGAGTTCTATTTAACTCTAAATAAGTGTCCTTTCCAGCTGACCCTGGTTGATGGATTTAAGTTTCTTGAGAAAAACAAAAATAGATAATCAAATCTCAAATATGCCTATCCCTGAAGCGGTATTCACCTTTTTTCAAGTGGAGGTTGTTAACTGGCCAGAAACACAGATCGGTGCCTCTTGTGACTCACACAGCAGGTTAATGTACAAACATGCATGTTGATGAAGGACACAGAAGGAAATGTGATGACCTGCAGATCAGAGGGATGTTAAAAGTCGTGACTACAGTACATGGACTAGTTCAAAACCTGGCACGCTTCATGAAACGTGTGGTCTCTCAACCACCAGGGACAGTCAACGGAGTTATTAAGGGAAGAAACACACACACTAGCACACAAACTGGAAAACAACATCCTCCTCAATTCCTGATGGATGTGTTTCCTTTTGTTGTAGGACACCAAGGGGGAGTGAGGAGCGATGGAAATGTTTTTTATTTGCTTAGGGCAGAAAAGAACAGAAAGATGAATCAGCTTTGTCTGGACGAAAAGCAGGAAGTAGGTCTCTGAATTTGCCATTGTAATGGAGCACTGAATTAGGAGAGTTTGCTAGATGAACCACTGGAGAAGAGAGAATTGTGTTGTGACATTTATCCTGAATGGTAGTTCTGAAATGGTATCAAATAGTCCGATTTCAGCATTGCCTGACTTAGGAAGCCTTCAGACAAGCTTTTGTGCGTGTTTTCCTCAAACTTGGTTGAAAGTGTTTTTGATCCATTCACAGTGATTTAACACATGATAAGTAGGAGACATAGATAGAGGTTCTAGTTTTGTGCTGAAGTTTCTTCTGCAAAAAGTTTATACATCAAAAGACCTCCTTGAAAATATCCAAGATTATTTTTGTAGTGTAGATATCATATTTAAAAAGAGACACACACCCCTTCAAACTGCCTGCTAGGTTTGGCTCTCATTCCATTCTCTCAAGGTTTAAAGTGTCAACCTGCTAGATCATTTGAACACCTCTGGGGTGTTCTGCAAGGGAGGGTAAAAAAAAAAAAAAATTAAAAAGACAGCAAGAAATGTAAAAAATGGGCAGGGGTTTGATTACCCAGAGGTGGTAGCCATTTTGGGTTTTTTTCACACCCACCCATTCCATGGGTGACCCCGAACACCCCAGTTGCCTGCCATAACTGCTGATCTTTAGACTTTCTTTTGCAGCAAAACATGTTCCTTTACTCTTACTAACAATTAAATGTGCACTGGGCTAAAAACTGAAGATGGATGCTATGAGTAGGTACCATTATAAGTGGATACCATTATAATGTCCTTATTGAAATGGATGTGAATATCAAAATAAATCACATGGCTGAATAAAAAAAGACCTCTGGGAAGAAGCATTATATCTCCACAGTTTTGGCTTAGCGTTGTACGGTTCCAGCTACATAAATAAGCTGTATGGGATGTGGACTTATCCAGTGGTTTGGGAACTTCACCTTTACCCTTTAATTTAAGGAAGGGCTTTTAAAAATCCCTGTGTGGTCATCTCTACATTCTGTCTCTCGGCTGAATTGCCAGAGGCAATTTTTAGCTCGGCTGGTTCCTGATGGTGATCATTCTCTCAAAATGCTATTTTTTTTCTCTCTCTCTCCTCAACATTGCAGCCAGTCCTTCTGTACAGGTTTGCTCTTTCTTCAGACAATTCCCAAGCTGGCTTTGGGATCTATTTTCAACATCTAGGGGACAGCCAGAAACGCCAGACATTGGGCAAAAGTTCAGCTGAGACATTTCCTCTGCAAAACCATTGGCTTGGCTTTCAGAGGATCTGAGTGAACTTCAGCAAACACAGTTTAACTTGTGTCTGTTTCAGATTAGGGTTTGGGTGACAGGGAGCTCATAATAACGCATGTATTCCCAAGTCAATTTGCAGTTAAGAATGTTGAAAAGAAAAAGAAATGCATGCTTAATACGTGTTTTCTTTTTCTAAAAAAACACAGTCTTGCAGAGACCCGTGGGGATTGGCCTACAGCTCATGGAGGTTGCTGCCTCTGCTCCTTTCCCCATTTGCAGGGAATGCTTTGGAAGAAAATAGCTTTAGGGGCAATGATTGGCACCAAACTAGCACGAAGAAGACAGGGCTATTAGTCTTCCTTTCTCCCACACCACAGTTTTATGGTCTGGATCAGAACACAGCACAGTGGCTTTAAAAAAAAAAAAAGATGGTGAATACAATTTGCTGTTCAGTCTTTTTAACAGAAGTCTAAATTAAGAAGTGGAATAATGTAGTTTGCAAAGGAGGCAGAGTTGACATTCGAAGAGAAGATTGGGCCTTTTGCGATATCCCTGGGATCAACAGGACGTGCCCTATCTAGTCGCCGTCTCTACAAGAAAAAAATTATACAAGATTACTATGGAAAATTGTACTATCAAGAGAATGTACAAGA